CCAACATAGTTGCCTCTGTGCCCCTGGGGTGCTTGCAAGAGCATGCTGAACCATTCCCTCTCTCCATGCAAGATGCCCCATGGCACACTGCTTCCCCTCCTTGTGCTGCATGGGGACAGAGAAGCATGCAGCTGCTCTCCTTCCCCATCATTTATGGCAGCAGGAGAAGGATGCTAACCCATATATTATCCCCCCATGACAGATGAAAGCTCTGTGAGCTGCTACAGGTACAGCATGCACCGCAGCACATACACACAGCCTGCGGCGTGCACGGGGCTCCCACTCCCATCGTCATGGCAAGCGTCGCAGCTGCTCCAGTCCCAGATTAAAACCCACGAGCTTTGATTTTTCTCTGAGATATTGTTTCTAGGCCAAGCTGAGGCAAAGAAAAGCATCCAAATGCAAGTGCTGCATTGGTGCCAGCAGCTGGAGTGATGGACTTGGCCAGCCCACGATATCAGACACTGTCTGCAGCCCCAGCATTATAGCAGGTGAATAACCATGGTGTGCACATCACCCGGGACACACCAAGCCTCCCCCACCCCACTGGTGATCCACAGCAGCCCTGGGGAGGTGCAAACAGGCTCCATAGAGCTCTCACACCAGCGTCAGAAAACAGGCATGCGTGTCCCTGCTCTGCACCGTCACAGCTTCCCAATAGCAGCTTGTCACAGCCACAAATGGATTCCTGAGAGCTCGGCACTGCCTTTCGGCAGAGCGCTGAGCTCAGGTATGCATTAAACACTGTAAAGCAGGCCTGGCTCAGCCCAATAGCTACATTCAGTACCCTCACACCCCAGTGACCCCACAAGCCCTCACCAGCAGCAGTACCACACAAGGGACCAGTTGTGATCTGGGTATTTATCCCCCAGTCACCTGTACCCTGTTCTGGGTTTATTGAGCTGAATTATCACACAGAGATAGGGCTGGCTGGAGGGAAGCACGGACCACAACGCTCTTACAGATGCTCTCGGGTCCTGAGTCACTGATAGTTTAGTGCTATGGGAGGAAATAACCTGAAGCCCAAGGAGATAACAGCCAGTGTCAGGCTGGGAGCAACTGTGCTCCCAGGCAGAGTCTCTGCCTGCCGGGAGAGGGAGGGGCGGGGGTGTCCTGTTCAGCTCTCTGCTGCTCATTAATCAGGACAAATTAAAGGGGATCCTGAGGATGGATAGCCATAGAGGATGAGGAGAATGCTGGCGGTGTTTCTGGTTGAAATCAGGCACGCCTTGGTTTAACTTGTGTAATATTGGCCTGCCCAGCTGCAGGGATTTACAGGGGGGCTGCAGGGAGAAGGCAGCAGGAAATGAAACATAAGCAGAGAGAGATACGGAGACGTCAGGGACTCCTGGGGAAAAGAGCTGGGAAAGCTGCCAGTACTCCTGCCCAGACTTAATGGAAGCCCTCCCAGGATGCTGGAGCAGGCATAGCTCTGACACAGGCCCAGGACACGCACTGGTGGCTGCTGGATTTTCTTTCCACAGCCAAAAATAGCGGGGCTTGCAGCTGTGGGTTGGGCACAGGGATCTCACAGCATCCACCCCATGGGGCTGCTGTGCTCACTCTGCAACCTAACCTTGGCTCACCGCAGCTCTTGCTGAGGCACCAGGCTCGCTGCTGAAAGTGAAACTCTTTGGGTTTTGGGAACCAGAAACCGGACGTACTGCTGACGCTTGCCTCCGCTTCCTGTACAGAGGCTGAAGTGTTTGCCCAGGCTCTGAGGTAGGTTCCACGGAGAGCCTCCTTTCACAGCAGCAGGACTGGCGGCAGCGGCAGCAGCAGCAGCAGCGTGCCCAAGGGTGTGCATTATCGCTCCAGCTCCTCACTACTAACCATCTTCCGAGGGTCGGGTGGTAGTGGGTCAGCAGCAACTGGGGCTCAGCAACGCAGTGGGGCCCATCAGGTCAGCCTGCCCCTCTGCATGGGAGCCCGAGGATAAATCTGGGGTGCTGCATGCCAGGCAGGGCCGTGCTGGCCTGCCTCCCAGCCAGGCTCGGAGACAGAGATGGGGTGCAGGGGGCTGGGAACCCCTCCTAGGAGCGGCGGCTGAGGAATTGGGCTGGAGAGGTTGGGTGGGGAGAAGGGAGAGGGGCAGGGGGAAGAGAACCGGGAAGAAAAACCACCCCAAAAGGCTCGCGGCTGGGGAGAAGGGGAGGAGGGAGCAGGGCGCGGGCGAAGCTGCAGGGGGTCGTCCCCAGTCCGGAGCACCCTGGTGTTCCCAGGGCTCGGGGCACCCACGGCGAGGAAAAGGAACCGGATACGGGCATGCCCGGGCAGACTCCCGCGGGCAGGGATGGCCGAACGCCTGCTTCCCTCTAGCGGGGAGCGACGGCGGAAGGAAAGGGGCGGTTCGGCCGGGCCGGCTGCACCCAGCCCCGGCTCCCCGCCCCATCCCGCTCCTACGGGCACGTGGTGCGGGCGGGGCAGGCTTCCGGAGCGGCGGCGGAGCGGTGAGGGCGGGCGGCGCTGGCAGCGGGGGGCAGCCGCCGGGGGTCTGCGGGCCCGGCCCAGGGCATGGGCTGGGGCTCCCGGGGCGGTGCTGGGTTCGCCTCCCCACGCGTGTCCCGCGATGGGCCCTCGGGGAGTCCGCCAGGTCCCGGTGCAGCCGCGGTACCCAAGGGCACCGTTCCCTCGACGCTGCGGACGTGGCCTCGGGAACATGTCCCTGTACCCCCGCACTGGACGGGAGCACAGCCTGCGTGGGCTGCCCCAATCCCTCGCAGGGGTGGGTTTTGGAGTGGTGGCAGCATACCCCTGGGCTGTGTCACCCGGGAGAAGGCGTGGGGACAGACAGTGCTGGCAGCCTGTGTAGACAGGTGATGTCGGCATCCAGGGGCAGGCGAAGGGAGGATCAGAGGAAGGGAAAGGGGGTGTGTGTTCAACTTCATTCTGTACCCACAGCACCACATCCTCTGACACACAGCGATGGGGAGACCCCAGAAGAACGCCACCAGCGCGTCATCCCCTAGGCCGGCCACCACCGCCTCCAAAACTGCCCCCTCCACACCACCGCCTTCCGCCTCGGCTACCCAGGCCCGGACTGCAGCTGCCAGGGCTACTGGCCCCAGCCGGGGGCAGGGAACAAAGCCAGACTCCTCTCAGCAGAGACCCACAGCATCCCGCGGAGCCCAAGGAGGTGCTGGGGACCAGCACAGAGCATCCACCGGAAGTTATTCTGCAACCCAGAAGAAGGCACCAGATGCCAAAGCAGCTGCCAGTTCAGCCAGACCCAACACCAAAGCAGCTGCCAGTCCAGCCAGACCCAATACCAAAGCAGCTGCCAGTCCAGCCAGACCCAACACCAAAGCAGCTGCCAGTCCAGCCAGACCCAACACCAAAGCAGCTGCCAGTCCAGCCAGACCTAACCCATGTCTGCAGAAGCAGCAGCCTGGGGATGCCCTGAGCAGGGCCTATGGCTGGTTCCTGCCCCCGCTGGAGAGCCAGGACATCCCACGTGTGGAGAAGGAGACCCGTGGCCAGCGGAGCAACCCCAAGTGGTATGAGTGGCGGGCAAACCGCATCACTGCCTCCATGGCCCCCAGGATCGCCAACAGCAATTTTGCCAATGGCAAGACTGACAAGGTGCCACAGTCCTACCTCAAAGCAGTAGTGGATTCCAGCCCCAGTGTGCAGACACGAGCCATGGCCTGGGGGATCGACAATGAGAAGGTGGCTGTGCAGGCTTATGAGCAGCTGAAGTCGCAGGCAGTGGGCAAGCCAGTGCGGGTGGAGGACTGTGGCCTCTTCATTGACCCGGATAAGAAGTGGATCGCTGCCAGCCCAGATGGCATCATCAGGGAGGCAGCCACAGGGAAGGCCCTAGGGCTGTTGGAAGTGAAGTGTCCCTACAAGCACAGGAACAATACGGTACGTGATGCCTGCAATGACAAGGATTTCTGCCTGAAGATGGATGGGGACTGCTATGCCCTGAAGAAGGATCATGCCTACTTCACCCAGGTCCAGTGCCAGCTGGCAGCCACCGGCTTCCAACAAGCCGACTTCGTGGTGCACACCAACAAGGAGACAGCCGTGGTCCCTGTGAAGTTCGACTCTGAGTTCTGGGGACAGACAGTGCCCAAGCTGGAGAAGTTTTACACTGAGGCAGTGATTCCCCACCTGCAGAAGGCAGGCAGCTCCGCCCTGGCCAAGGAGGAGTAGACCCCCCTGCCCCATCTTGCTCATCTGCCCCAGAAACCCACCTTTGGTCCCTAGCATAGAAAATGCACCTGGGTCTGCTGCTGTTCTTGGACTGTTCTCTGCCTCAGGACTGAAACACTGCCAGCAGGACCATGCTTTGGTAGGGATCTCCATGAACAGTAACCTCTAGTGCCTTCTTGTCCTGTCATCCTCACTGTATCCCCCATTTGACCAAACAACACTCCCTGATGGAAGCTGGTACACCTCTGGATCTGCAGGGGAAGCCAGTGATACCTCCATGCTGGAGTAAAAGGCTTATTTTGTGGAGAAAACTGGATCCTTTGGCATCTCGACTGCTGTCAGAACTAAACTGTAGCTCTGATCCGGAGACAGGGAAGTTTTGTCAAAACCCAAGAGTGAAACAGCTTTTCAGCTAAATAGTGGATGTACTGTAAGAATGACAGCAAGGGCATGTGGACGCACCTCTCCTTGAGCCATTGGACCTGCTTCTTTGGAGTAACCCATGATGTTCACAATGAGTTGGCTGCAGCCTTGGGAAGATGGCATCCGTTGAAGAGGTTATCCCCCAGCCCATCTGCTTCCAGAGGACCTTCCTGTGAAGCATCACTGTGCACTGCAGCGGGGTGGGGAGGTGGTCATCGCTCTATTAAACACAAGATGCACTGGCCTGCTCGTTCCCTGTTGTTTATGCACCCTGGTGTTTACCTGGGGTGGGGGTGGGTTATCAGGGCTGAGTGGGATCCCCACACCAGGTCCCCTCCCAGCCACAGCAGAAGGGGAGCACTTGTGTCCCAGAGGGACATGAGACCCAAGGCCACCAAACTATGCCAAAGCGACCACCGTTATGGCAAAAGTACTTTATTATATACATAAGACTCTAGCCACACTCCACAGGGCAAGGACCAGAATTCACTATTTTACATATCAATACAAAGAAACTATAAAAACATAAAGCACTTTTGGGGCCCAGGCTTTCCATAGGAGGAGAGGCACAGGGATGAGCCTGGGGGCTGAGTGACAGGGGCTGCCCCACACTCTCCCCCGAGCTGTGGTCCCACTGTAACCAGATGTGCAAGTAGAAAAGAACCTAGTTAAGAAATACAGTCATGGGGGCCGTCCCACTCCTGCTTCAGTCAGCAGCGCACGGGGGGCCAAGCTGAGCATCACCAGGCCAGGAGCAGAGGCTGTGTCCCCCAGGGAAAGTGCAGAAGGCACGTGGGCCAGGCTTTTTGGAGGGGCTGTGAGGAGGAGGTGGGATCCAAGTGCACATGGGGCCCCACGAGATCACACACAGACACTGCGCACAGGGAACACAGAAGGGGTAAAGCCTTCCACTGCTGAACTTCACCAGGGGGCTGGAGAGGGCACTTCCCATGTCTCTGGAGCAGCAGTTGCATAGCAGAAGGGGCTCAGGGCCCACTCTTGACAAGTCATAAAGTTTAAATCTACATGTTCAGGACAAAAAAAAAAACAAACCCAACAACCTTAGTGATGGAGTGAGTGCTGGGAAGCAAAAGCATCCCAGCTCCTGGCTCCATCCAAGCTCAGGTCTCAGCGTCCAGCTGGTGTTGAAGCACATGCTCCACCAGGCAGCCCTGCAGGTAGGAGCCGGCCTCAGGGTACGAGCTCCAGTTGTTTTAAACTGGGTGTGGAAAACATGGAAAGCTAACCAGAGCATTCTTCTGATCCCTTTCTGAAGGGCTGCCAGCCCTGCCACAGCCAGCTCTGAGGATAACTTCAATCTCCTACAATGAATCTCACCCCTCTTCACACAGGAGACCTCAGTGAAGCTGGAGAACATGAACCAAGGAGGGCTGCTCAGCAAGAACAGCCTTTGCAGTCATCTACTAGGGGATGCCTTTGCTAATCCTGACCCATCAGGGCTATCCTGGGGCTACCGGGACAGCAAACAAAACCAGGAGCGCCACAGGATGGACCTCCCCTGTGCAGCCTACAGCGCGGATGAGCCAGAGATAGATGGCTCCACCAATGCCCCTAAAATGCAAGAGCCCCAGTCTGCTTCAGGCATCAACAAGACCAATGTCCCTTCCCTGCCTAGCCTGGAGAGCAGCACACTACATCCCTTAATGCAGTGTAGCCCTTGATGTAGTGTAGCAAGAAGCTGTAGCCCTGCCTGGGCTGCACCTACTTGCTGGAGAACTTGGGTCACTGGGGCTTTGCCATTGCAGCCCACCTGAAGGTTCAAGGGAAACGGTGATGAAAAAGGAGGAAGGGGCGTCACATCTTAGGCTAAGTGTAAGCTTCCACCACACCACAGAAAAACTGCTTGGACTAGGTTCTCCTTGGCTGTCCTGGGGTAAAGGCACTGGGACAGCCTCGTGCAAAGACAGAGATGTTTCTGAATGACCTAGTGCGTGGCTGGGCCACCCTGCTCTCCCCCCAACACCTCTGGGGTAACCGACCTCTGCGGCCAACACAATCCTCAGGGAGGACATGCATGGCAGCTTCCAGGAAGTGCAAGGGGGACAGTCCAGCCCCCGGCCCGGCCCCTCCACTGCCATTACTGTGCATTGATTGTCTAGCCAAACCAGGCTACAGTCTGCAGTTGAGAAAAGGGGACCCCCACCTTCCCTGCTGTGGAGGAGCTTCAGTCACAGAAGCGCTTGCGGGGCACTGTTCGAGCTCGGTTAGAGCGGCGAATCTCCTGCTTGGCATCGCGGCACCGCTGGCAGATGAAAACCTCAGGCACGTTGGACTTGCGGATCTTGGCACAGGAGAGGTGGATCCAGGTCGCACACTCATTACATTCAATCATGGGCCTCCCTGCGAAGGGCTTCAGGCAGAAGCAGGTGATCAGATCCCAGGCATCATCGTCTGGTCAGGGAGAGAGACACTGGTCAGAAACCACCTTACCAGCTGCAGCCAGACTAGCCAGTTCTGCTGGTGATAAATGGGATAGCCCTCACTCACCTTCCGCTTTGGTGTTGGGTGCTGCTGTGAATTCAACTGCTGGAATCGCAAAAGGGGAGAAAAGAAAAAAAGGAAGACCAGATGAGCAGAGAGCCCTGCACCCCACTTTGGACACTCCACAGAACAGAGCTGCCTAACAGAATTGCTCTGCTCTTCAGGCCCCTCCAGGTCCCAGTGGTATTCCCCTTGCTGGGAGAGGCTTGGGCCATCCACAAGGCCTCCCTGCAGCCAGCATAGGTAGCTCCAGCTAAGGGAGGGACCATCTTCATCACTGGCTGCAGCACAACAAAGCCCTCTGCACTGCCTCAGGTACTCACCACTAAGCTGGGAACTCCCTCTGCTTGCATCTTCTCCTTCGCTTTGGTCCAAGGTACTACAAGAACTGGGGCTTTTCCTCCCTCTAGAGCAGGGGTTGTGCTCCTTTAGCTGAGGATCATCTCCTGCTAGCTTCTTGGTCCCCTGCTCTCTATGCATCCAGTCCTTCTCCTCCTTCATCAGTTCCTCCAGGAGGGAGTTGGGCTGGGGGTCCCCAGCTGGGTTGAGGGAAGGCTCCTGGAGCTGCTCTTTCACAGGAAGCACCTGTCCCTCTGGCGCAGGCAGCTCCTTCACCCCGTCCTGCTCTGACCCAAAGCCCTTCCCAGTGCTCAGCAGCACGCTCTTCACCTCTGGCTCCAAAATGAGTTTCTTTGCTGGTGGCTTTTTCCGTTTGGTTTGCTGGGGCCGGACGTCATAGAAGCTGGTGGGAAAGGCTGGGCAGCTCATGAGCAAGCTGCTCTCCACAGCCCCCCTGGCCATGCTGTTCCTGCTCCTCCCATCATCCGTCAGGACATGGCAGTCAGAGGAGTGGGATGAGGCCCAGCTATCACTGTCCTGAGTGCTCCCTGTGCTGTTCTGGGGACTCATGCTGCCTCCATGGGTCCAAGGTTCATTCTGCAAGAGGGGAAGATGCAGGACTAACATGGGAGACTGCAAAGCAGACACTCAAGGGTAAGGAGGAAGGAACTGGGGATGGAGAACAATTCTTGAGGAGAAATTAGAAGCTGGGTTTGCACAAAGTGGAGAGCCCAGAGAAACCAGTCTTTTCGTAGAAGAACACCCTGTAAACCTGCTTACCTCTTCAGGGTAGGGGATGTAGCCTGCATAGGCCAAAACGAAGGTGCAGAACTGGTTGAAATCCTCCACGGTTCTCTGTCGTTTCTGCAATGGCTGCAACAAACACCACGTGTCAGCTAAACTGCTCCATACCCGTACCTGAGCTGAGCATCCCAACCAATCCTGCCAGGCAGTGCTGGACCACCAGGCAATTAAACAAGCAGGTAATTTTTAGGTAATCCATCCATCCATCCATCCATCCATCCATCCATCCATCCATCCATCCATCCATCCATCCATCCATCCCATCTGCATCATCTGGCTCGACAGACGCAGCCTTTCCCTTCAGCGCCCGTACAGCGGGGGGACACATGGCGCACACGGTGAGGACACGGTGGGACACTTGGAGCGCCAGCAGCCGCCCGGCACAGCGGAGTCAGAGGCTCGGGAGCTCCGAGCCAGGGATGTCCGCCCACAGCGGCTGACTCAGGGCTAGAGGGAGAAGGTGCCGGGGGCCTGGGGCTTCCCCGGCTCAGCCGGAAGAGGCTGGCGCCGCTCAGGACCAAGTGCCGCACTCGGAGCTCCGGGATCCCGCGGCAGAGCCATCCCCGCGCCGAGGCCCCCAGAGCCATGGGCGGAGTAGCAGACGCCCCCCACCCGTCCCCGCCGGCACCGGGGGGAGCCCCTGAGGCCAGGCCGGGCCGGGCCGCGCCGCGCCGCTCCCCCTCGGCCGGAACCGCCGGTGAGGGGCGGGAAGCGGGCGGCCACCGCCTGTCCCCGCGCCGGGCACCTGATGGCTCCCAAGATGGCGCCGCGCTCCCGGTCCTGCCCCGACCAACCGCGGGGGGGGGGGGAGGTGGAAGAGGAGAAAGGTGGGGGTGAGACCCCGCTCCCGCACACGGGCATCCCCCTCCCCCCACGAGCAACACCCGCCCCGGCACGGGACCTCCGGAACCGGCACACAACAGCGCGCGCACACCGCTCACACACGCACCCCGGCAGCCCCCCCCCCCGCCCCGGTACAAGCATGCCGCGAAACACACACACACACACACACACACACACACACACACATACATACATGCACACACACGCATCCTGGCCACACAGGTCCCCGGCCGCACCGCCAGCATCCCCCGGACCCGGTGTGCCTCCTCCCGCCCGCCCGCCCCCCCCGTCCCGTTCCCCCGGCACCATCTCCCGCCCCTGCCCACAGCCGCCCCTCGGGGCTCTTCACACAGGTACAGGCCCCCCCGCGGGCGCACGCACACACAGAGCCGCTCCCTCCGTCCCGTTCTCACGGGGGACACACAGCGACACCCCCCGCACACACACAGACCCGCTCCCCCCCCCCCGTTCATGTGGGGAACACAGACACCCCTCCCGCGTGCACACACAGAGCCATTCCCCCCCCGTTCTCATGGGGAACACAGAGACCCCCCCCTCCGCGCACACGCACAGAGCCGCTCGCTCCCCTCCTCCCCGTTCATATGGGGAACACAGAGGCCTCCAGCACACACACACAGATCCCCCCCCGTTCACATGGGGCGCACAAACACCCGCCTCCCCCTCCCCCCGCACACACACAGCGCTCCCCCGCTCGCACATACACCACGCACAGCCCCCCCCCAACCAAGCCTCCCTCAGTCACAACCCCCCCCAAGAGCGCAGCTCCAAGCACCCCTCGATATGAGGGCACCCCCCCCCCCCCAGCACACACGGTCCCCCGTGCACGCAGAGGATTTCCCCCCCCCATCCCATGGCGGGCCCTCACCCCGGACACACAAACAGCGTCCCCAGGGTCCCCCCCAGCCCCGCTCACCTCCTCGGACACCGGGGATCCGGGGCTGGGCACGGGGCTGCTCCCCGCCGAGCGCGGCCCGCCGCTGGGGAACGGTGCTCCGGGAGCAGCGGCCCCGCGCCCCTCACCTGCCGCCTCCCCGCCAGCGCTCATGCCGCCCGCCGGGCCCTCCCTGCCCTGCCCTGCCGTGCCCGGTGCGGTGGGTGCCCACCGCCGGTCGTACCGAGGCTCGAGCACCGCCCCGGCCGCAGGGGCGGGACCACCTGGTGGCGGGGAAGGCGGGGGCGGAGCCTCGCGCCAGCCGCCCCGGGAGGACCGGCGCGGGGCGGGAGCCGCGGATCGGGCCCGCCCCACACAGCCCCGGGACGCCGGCACCCCCCGCTCCGGGTGCCCGCCCTGCCCCCTCCTCTCACCGCCCCCTAACAGCAACCGGATCCAGCACCCGACCGGGCTGACACCCAAAGCCCGCCTCCCCTACCGCCAGAGCGGGGCACCGGCGCGGCTCCGCTCACCCCGGCACGGGCACCCGCCTCCCGCACACCACGGCGGAGCCATTTAATTTGGCGAGACCCACCCAGAACGCATCTCCCCCCCCACCCCCGCTGCCTTGTGGCCGGGGCAGCAGAAACACCCCTCCCACCTCCTCCCGCATTCAAGCCCCGCAGCCCCCCCAAGGACAGAGAGCACTGCACCCACTGCATCCTGGGTTTATTTACACGGCAACCTCTGTGCAGGGGGGCAGGAGGGACCCCGGGGCAGCTCACCCCAGGGCCGGTTTGCAAGCAGAGGCAGGCGCTGAGGCGCAGAGGCGCCGGTAGCAGCCCAGGGAAAGGAGCGGGGAGCGGGGCCCAGGAAGAGCCGGGCGCTTGCTCCCTCGGCACTATAAACACAAACCCCTGGGGAGGACGGACCAAGCAAGCCCCAGCTTCCAGGGACTGGGGGAAGAGGCCGGGGTCATATTTAGCAGCAGAAGCCTCATTTCCCTCCAGGGTGGCAGGAGGATGGTGGCATGAGATGGAGCCGGACAAAAAAAAAAACAAACTAAAAAAGGCATAGGGAGAAGCCAAGAAACATGGAGAACAGCTCCTCTCCTGCCCTCCAGAGCACGCAGTGACACCAGGGTTGTCGGGATGTGACACCTCTTTCCCTCCTCTCAGCAGAGCAGCAGCTCCAGGCACAGCCTTTCCCGTGTGCCCAGCACCAGGCACAGCCCAGACCAGCAGCAGTCTCCAGTGTGCCCACAGCCACGCACAGCACCAGGCTCCTGCTCCCTCGCTGTCCTTCCACCCGGCCCCTGGAGGGGAGAGCAGTTCAGGTGGCAGTTCGACGGCATGGCTGACGGTCCATGTGGGCAGCAGCGTCCTTGGCGCTCTGCCAGGCACAGTTGGGATGGATGCCAAGGCAGTTGAGCTTTGCCCTCCAGCCCCAGCACAGTCCGGCTCCTGCCTCCCTTATAGGAAACCCTCCTTCCGGAACTGCTCCTTCAGGATGTCTCTGTACTGCTCGAAGCCACCCTCGATGCGGGTCACGGTGGTGTTCTCACAGACCCATAGCTCCTTGCACACCAGGTGGATGAAGCGCTCGTTGTGGGACACCAGAATTACACCACCCTGCCGACACACAAGGTGGGGAAAAAGGGAACTTAGTGGAGCACAACCCAGGGCCCAGCACTGGTGGCAGGGAGATCCTGAGCCCCTGCCCAGGACTTCGGGTTTCCTTTTGCATCAGAGAAAACAGAATGGTATTTCACTGGCAGGGACCTAATCCCAGCCTTTCCTTCCTTCAGGGGGAGAGACAGATCACACATGGAGGAGGCAAGTGGAGCAGAAACATATTTAGCCTCCACTCTTGGAAGGTGACCACAGGGTTTGTTACTGGCTCTCCAGGTCTCTGACAACTTTAGGGATGGAGATTCCAGACGGAGGCAATGACAGCTGAAATGTGGCTGGGCAAGGCCCCCGCAATCTCAGTTAAGCTTTTACTTTGCAAGAAAACTGCCCCAACCTGAGCAACTATTGAACAGTGAGAACCAGAGTGATCACAGAGGTACCTGGAGATCATTGAAGATCAGCCATAAAACATGCCTAAGGAAGATCCAAGTGGCCCCAAGGCAGGGCTGAGTGCCACATGCAGCACGCAAGAAGTCACAGCAAAATGGGGGACAAGGTGCTCTCTGGTCTGCTGCTGCCTGCCTCAGCAACTCCCAGCCAAAGCAGGCAGGTGAAACAAACCACCAGGGTGGATGATTACGGCTGAAACGTGACCAACTTCCCAAATTCTGTCCTGGGCTTGAAGCCACTACTGGTATTTGACCACCACCTCTAGCTGAGATACCCAGGAACTTGAGCTGGAGGCTGCAGGAAGCTTTACAGAAATGGGAGATCCTTACCCGGAATTTATTCAGTGCCTTTGCCAATGCTTCGATAGTCTCCATGTCCAGGTGATTTGTTGGCTCATCTAGGATGTAGAAGTTTGGACTGGAAAAGAAGACAGCTCTGAGCACACATGGGAACAGGCCCCCGCTGGGTCTGCACCCATTGCACTGCTGCGACCTGCACCAGGCTGCTGCTTTAGCTGCTTGGAGCCACAGCCACCAGCACATGCCTGGCTCAAGATCCACACTGCCCAGCTCCAGGGATACCTCTTATCCCAAGAGAGGAGAAAACCACCTGCCTCCTTCTACACAGTTCTCCCAAGGTGACAACCTCCCTCCCCACAAAGTGCCAAGGAGAAGGCTTCCACAAGGTGTTGGGAAGTCCCTGGATGTCTGCCTTCCTCCTGGAGAAGCAGGCTCCAGGGATGAAGCCATGCCAAAATCAACAGCATCCGGGAGAAAATTACCAGGACATAGTCATCTGGGCAAAGGCCACACGACTCTTCTGACCTCCAGACAGGCTGGCCACAGGGCGCACGGCCAGCTCCCCTGAGATGCCGTAGCTCCCCAGCTGATGCCGGTACTCCTCCTCCGTCTTCCCTGCAGGAACGTGTCATAACACAGCTATGGCACACCCGATGTGACACAGGGTGTCCAGTGCCATGTGCTTGGGCAGTGTGTGCCAGACCAGCATGGCGGTGGAGGAATTCAGTATCTGCTTCCAGGCAATTCCCTCCCAAGCAGGGGGTTTGCAGGGAAAACCTGACTGACACAATCAGGACAGGGGCTGCAGGGCTGGTGACCAACTCCAAGTGATGGTGCACCCAGTCCCCTTGTCACCATGTTATAACAGAGGAGGGAGCCAGAGGTTTTGGGAGCTGGGGAAGGGGGAGCCAGTGCTCACTTCGCGCCCAGGAGGAAAGTGGGTCATCTGTCCCCAAAACCTGGCCACGGTGGAGCACCAGCCTGAGGTCTGCAGGCTGCCAGCTACCCACTTCTCATGGCTGGTGTCCTGAACTTGGCTGGACGTGGGGAGATAACCCAGAGCAGGTGGTGTCCCTCAGGCACTGATGTGACACAGCCTTCTGCTCAGGGCCATGGAACAAATCGATGCCACTCCATATACAGCAGAGGAGACCTCAATGTCCCAGATCTTTTGGGATCTCGCAGACTCACCTGGGAACTTTCTTGCCAGTAACTCTACAGCACTGATGTTTAAATCCAGTTGATCCACATGGTGCTGGCTAAAATAACCGATCTTTAGGTTTCTGCAGAGTAAGAGAGATTGGGAGCTGGTACTAGGCCCTGCAAAGCCAGTACTCATAGCTGCAGCTACAGTAAAGGGAGCACATGCATGGGTGTGCAGGACCCACCCCCATCACCCCAAAGCATAGCCCAGAAGCCCTCCAGCTGCACCATTCTTCCCAGTCCCAGTCCCCCAGCCCTTCCTACCAGGTACCTGTGAGCATGTCGTATCCCTCTGACTGGTGCCAGCTCCCCCATTAAGATCTTTAGCATGGTCGACTTGCCAGCTCCGTTTTCCCCAACCTAGAGAAGCAGCAGCAGCAGCACTGGAGATCATGAAACCCATCAAGGTACTTTGAAGAGGGAGGCAGTGATCAGGGAATCTCAGCTCTCTTGGATGATCACGCAGCAGAGGGGGGCAGGTTGAGACTCTAACCAGTGACTCCAGCTACCCGGCAGCTGCATTTCTATCACTGACGAACAGCACAGGCAGCAGTGCTAGATGATGTTCCTTCCCCAACCCTTGAGCCTAAGGACTACCTGGTCCCAGTCTCATTTCCAAACCATAGTGTCTCTCTGCTGCCCCATCCAAGGTAGCAGGAGCCCCCACTGTTGTCAGCTAACACGGAGTTACAGAGAAGATGGAGCCAGTCTCGTCTTAGATGCACCCGGTAACAGAATCAAGGGGGATCAAATGCTGCAATGGGACCCAGAGGAATGGGAGAAACAGTCCTCCCTAGAAATATCCAGAAGTCAACTGAGCAAGGACCGGAGCAACCTGACCTAACATCAAAGCTGGCCCTGCTTTGGGCAGGGACCTCCAAGGTCCCTTGCAGCCACCATTACTCTGCAACCCCACATACCACACAGATGCGGGACTCCAGGTCAGCAGAGACGGAGAGGGAATGAAAGATGTAGCGACTTGGGTCGTAACAGAAGTCTACTTCATCCAGCTGCAGGATTGGCGGGGAGAACTTCTCAAAGCCATCAGGGAACCTGGGAAGACAGGAAGAGAGATGGTGAGGAACTTCAGCGATCCTGCTCCCAGCCCCCTGGGACAACCTCTACTACCCCCCACGTGGCAAGAGATGCTCCTTGACATGCAGGGCCTCTGGGAAGGATGGTCACAAGAAAAGGACACAGATCTGAGGCCTTGGTCCCAAGAAGGAACCCAGCCTGAATGCAGGGGTCTGTCTGGGCTCCCTGTCACAGTAAGTAAGGCTGGCCCGCAGGAAGGGGTGGTTACTCCAGCCAGGACAGGACTCAGGAGGAGCTCACATCAGAAACAGGCATTCTCCAAGAAAGGGGTCAGGAGACACTTACTTCATGATCACCTCAGACTCCTTGTCCACAGGTTTCAGCTCTGGTCTGGAAGAAGAGGAGACACATAACTGAGGTGCCTTGCACTGGGGGTCTGTTCCCACATCAGAAGCCCAGATAAGAGCGTTGCAACACCTCAGCCTAGCCAAAGCCTCTAGCAGAGACAGAGCATCCAAAAGCCCAAACCACCGCTGTATCCCCCAGGCACCCTGGGAACCTCTGTTTCTTCCCATGAGCACTGCCTCTTCCCCACTTCCTGAAAGTAGAAGATGCACTCACAG